CTGCTGCAAAAATACAACTCGCAACTGCTGGGTGAGCAAATAACAAGCCAAAGAAGAGTGATTCTCTTAACCAGTGAACTGGACACAATAACAGCATTTCATCGTATCTTCTTGTTTTTCAAAATAATCATATTTATTTATGCTCACGTGGAATCAACAGTGGAGAAAATGGTAAAAGTAACAGTCCCGACAACACCGACAGTATTGGGGACTTCAGACATGTATTTGAAGTTCTCACGATGATGATAAATGCCCAATACTATTGAACTCCATACATGTACATACTGGTATAAATAAGTGTTGCTAAAAGTAGCTTAGCTCTGGTTTCCAACTAGCTCATACTAGGTAGGTTGGGTATTTGGTGACAATTGTGAGGTAAATAAGTTGTCACCATCACTTGCTCCTTGTTTACTGTTATCTCTACTGAGAGATCTGGGAATATTGTCCCCCGCAGCTCTCTTTTGAGAAGTTTCTCTTTGAAGAAAAGGTGAATGTGCTGCACAAATCATCTTTTTGGCTTTTAATTACATTCGATTTATCTAAATTTCTTCTGATTATAGCTAAAGACTACTCAAGTTCCTCAGTTCGATAATCATGGGTGTAATGCATGCCTTTCTCTCTATAAAAGAAGGCTCATGCCCGAAGCATCCAAACTGCAAGTTATGCCTGCACCGTATTTGTAATTGTTCTGTGTGGGAGCCTGCTGCTGACAGGGAGACAGAGAGTGAGTCAAGCTGTAAGTTTGCAGAAGCTAGCACAGGAACAAACCTGCACTTTAACGCATTCATATTCCTCTGGGTTTTCTCTCTGACAATCGCACAAGTAAATAAGGGCCAAAGAAAAAAAAAAATACCTCAGATGTTGCTGTGAACATTTTGTCAGCTTGTTAAAAGGCAATCAGGACTCTATTTAAGAGGAGCACCAACCTTGTAGTGCTTTACGGTACGCTGCAAATAGTCTGATCTGCCAATAGTATACTATAATTTTAGACTTAATGTGGTATGACTTAACACCACAAATGTAAACATGAGAATGAGAAACATGAGAATCTGCCCAAATTAATACAGTTTCAGTGAGGACGGAGAGCAGGAGAAAGGTGAGCAGAAAAAATAAACTGAAAAGGCCCAGCATTCAGATGCAAGCTGTCAGTTTTATGCATGTACATTTGCAAACAACAAATGTGGATCAAAGTGCTTTGCAGTCAAAGTCTAAAGACTTATTAAACATTCTATTAAGTGATTAACATATGTTTGTAAGGGAAAGAAAACAGGAATAAACATGAATTATGTTATGTTTGGGCTCCAGAAATGTTTGGCTGGTGAACTATGAACAAGAGTTAAATCGGTTTTAGAACCAGGTCTTGGTAAGGTTCCTCAACTCGGCACTCGCCAGGTGACAAATTCATCAGCGATCTGACAGTCGGAAGAGTGGGTTGGAGGTGCGGGCTGAAGGCTGGCTTGCATGAGCCCGTTATAAACGAGGAGCGGCGGATTGCTAGATAACACTTTGCATTCATATATGAATATTTATCCCGAAGGCTGGCACTGGAACCGATGAGCTCGCATGGGAGAAAGAACAAGCTATCTATCTCACTCTCTCCCCATTTCTGAGCCTCATTCTTTACTTTCATACATTCCCTTCACTTGCAATCACCATTTCAATGCCTCTCTTTCCTCTTTTGCATTTTCCACCCACATTTTCCCTCTAGGCTTCCCCTCTTTTTCTTGATATCACCCGATCTATTGCTCTTCTCCTTAAAAAAAGAAGAAGAAAAAAAAAACTACCCCCTCCAATCTCTTCTCTTCACGGCACTGATGCATGGAAAGAGATGGAGCAAAAGAAAAGGGGAGGAAAAAAAAAAGAAAAAGCATGTGATTAATGTCGTTGAGAAAAAAGATAAATAATCACAGGAGACTGGGGGCTGGTAGTTGGCCTTAGGGGAGTAAATATGGAGAGTTTTATAGCTGCTCACTTGGGAGTAAAGGGAGGCGAAGGAGGAGGAGACTGGAGAGGAAGGAGAGGAATACGGCGACAGCAGATCCATTCAAGTATATTAGTTCCCCCCTCCCATCTCCGTACACAATAACCTCTTCGTCTATCCTATTGCGCTACTGTCTTTCATCATCAGTGCTGAACCCCATCCCAGTGACAGCACAAACACACAGAGGGAACCGCACAAAGCCACGCATGCACCAACGCTCGCCTGCACACACCCTTGCAATCAGCCCAGGCTTCTTTTACAGGCCAGACCCACTGGATGTGTTTGATGGGGCCAATACATGTGGTGTGTGATGTGGCTGACATCCACACACACACGCAGCCCTCACCCCCGCCAAGCCCCCAGTCCCCACCCTCCTGCGCTCGTCCTGCTTTTAAGCCCTCATCCTCCAGTGGCTGCCTGTCCCCTGGAGTAGATTGCATCTTTTATTTATCATTTGCTCTTCCTTGGCTGTATCTTTCCCCAGCTAGTAAAAAAATAAAAATAAAAAATAGGAGAGAGAGAGTGTAAGAAATTCTGGGGCAAAAATCGCAATCAGCATAACATGCCCTCCTCCCTGCTGCGTTCTCGCCTGTCATTCTCCACTCTCTGTGAGCATGCGGGATGAGACTGACAGCCCGCACAGATGAAGACAAACACGTGCGTGTGTGTGAGTGTGTGCACAACCTCTTTCTGTGTTTTTTTTTAAACCCCCTACACCAAAAATATATTTAAAAAAAGAAGAATCACACAGACGTCCACAGAAAACAGAGTTGCACCGATCCGACTCCTCCTGGCCGATATGGATGTTCTCTTCGATCTGACCTGCTGACCCTGGTTACTGATAGATGCCTGTTAACTGTAGTTTTGAATCAAACTGATAATTACGATATAATAATTCATGATTTAAAGCACATATCTCCCTAACCCTTATCGGCTTTTGTTGACCTCAGAAACAGGGTGTCAACAACAATGCTACGACTTGATGAGATTATCAACCAAAAACAGTGAGAGTTTCTAGTTCTGAAGGGAAAAAAGTCTGATTTTTCAGCCTTTTATCTGCCAATCACCAATTAAAGCTGAAATGGGGGCTGAGGGGGTTGACTCCAGTCTCTGGACGATCAAACGGAGAGTCGCCAATGTTTTTTCCTCTCTTGTGACAAATACTGGTGGCAGGACTGGCTCTGAATTGAAAAAGGTCAAAGGAAAGAAAAATACATCCAAACGCCAAACTGAGAACTCATTGAGACGCAATGATAAAACTTACAATTACCAAAATGAGCCGCTGAGATTCTTTTTTGTTTTTCCCATTTAGATTCATAATCCTAAAGAAGCGACAAAAACAATGTGTAGACGACGACGCAGGACCGATCAGGATGGTTTTCTTTGACTTATCTATTCCGATTTTATCTGTTTCTTCTTCATCTGAAGACTATAACACCTGGGCAAAGAGGTGGTAGTTCTGAAACCAACAGAAAATAAAGGAATTAGAAAATTCTCCCCCTGTGAATATATCATCAGTCTTCACCAGGTTTTATTTTACTAAAAAAAAAGTGTATCCACAAACAGACGTGGTCGGTGCATTTAAAGAGCACCATATGTGGGAATTCTTAGCTTTGATGCATTAATTAGAAACCATAAATATGTTGTTGTTGTTGATGGGGATTTTTTCCAACATTTTACCTGCCAAACAGGAAAAACTTGGCTGATTCCGACCTCGGGACGACGCTTCGGTGGATCTCTGGTTGCAAATGATCTCGTTCCCCTCTTTCTGACTACTTAACCCAAAGCACACACACTTATCTACTTAGTGATGCCTCATACTTTTTTATTTCACCCCGGGCTGAGTGTTCAGCTTCCTCAAGCCCCAAAAAGAGTGAGCACATAAATGAGCCTAATGCTGGGGAATCTGGTAAACAGGCCAGCGAGAGAAAGGGAGAGGGAGAGAGAGAGGAGGGAGAGCTGCCTGCCTGTCTGTCTGCTCCATGGCTACTATTGTGCACTGCACATTCTCTGAGCCCACAAGAGCTGAAGCCATCTCCACAGATTCTTTAGGGGGGAGATAGTAAGCCAAGAAGTGAGATAGGAAGGGACGGGGGGGAGCAAGGGGAGAGAGAGAGAGAGATGGTGAGAGAGGCAGGGAGGGAGGAAGATCATGCATAAAATCTTGTTTACAGAATGCATTAAGATTCAGATGAACTGGGGAGGGTAATGGGATTAGAATCCTGAACCGCTTCCAAGGGTGGGGAGTCAGATTGACAGCTGAGTCTATTGCACTGACGAATCTAGTGAAATATTCGGTGCTCTGGCAAAGACAAGCCAGCCAGCCAAGAGGGGCAGGGAATCAGAGGGGGTTTGCTGAGCCTGGAGCACCTCTGTTTACTCCCAGCTGTACCACAAATAATGCAGCTGGAAGACAAAAACAACAACAACAACAACATATCGTTGTCTGTGTAGGTGCATGCAGCTTGGGCTTCAGATACATGTTGGAGAAGCTGGGGGAGAAGAAGAAGAAGAAGAAGGGAAAAAAAAGCTTCAGTGTGTCTCACAAAGATGTTTGGCAAACAAAATAGAAGCACTGTGGCTTTAAATCGCCGTCCCTCCCCAGCCTTTCTAAATATCGTCTATTTAGCCAGCGGTGAAAAGATATAGGGGGCTTTTGTCTGCGTACCCATTGGTGGGGGCATGGAGAGCTGGAAAGACACAAAAATAGGAACAAAGTCCTGAGCTTCCAATTGGAATTGCTCGGGGGCCATTCAATGCGCACAGCTCAGTGGTTAGAAACAAGGAGAAGTGGGCTAAAATTACGGGCTTATCTGAAAATAGGCTTTTCTCACACAGCTATAGGGTGGACTGGTGTGGAAATACCCTGCATTGTTTATAATAGGCACGGCTGTGGAAAAGAAACACAAGACCCCGTGGAAGGTCCACGGGAAAAAAGCAAACAGGGCGAGTGAGACGTGTTTTCTTTCTTACAGTCTGTTTTTTTTCCTGCATTATTGTGACGCTTTGGTCCACTCACCGACTTGCAAAACGTTGTCCACCCAGCCGCCCTCCAGCAGAGTGACACCCCGCAGAAAAGGCAGCTGGGTCTCGTCATTATTGTCCCCGCTAGATCCACTTTCCTCTCCCCCGGCGTTGAAAGAAGAGTACATACAGATCTCCTTCTCGCTTCTCGGGAATGACCAGTAAACGATCCTCCGCTGGACGGGCTCCGGGATCCTCTCGAACCGCTCCTCCACCCGCTGGAACGGCCACTTTTCCGCGACTCTGCGCGCCGCGATGTCGAGCAGCGACTCGGGGTTGTGCGTTTTCCCGTTCCCGGACCCTCCCGGAGCGGACCCCGCGCCGCCGCACGGGACTCCTCCAGCCCGCTGCCCCTGCCTGCATGCCGGGTTGTAGCCGGGCCGGCAGCAGAGCCGCTTGGCTGGGGGCTGCTGGACTCGCTCGGCCATGATCGCACCGCTTCCAACCTGAAGCGCAGTTCCTCTCCGATCATATAAACGGGATAAGGAAGAGAAAAGGGCAATCTCGAACCGATTGTTTGCCGTACATGGAGAGGCTGCCCTTATTTGGAGAAGTGGGCGGGCCTTGCGAGTTCCGTGAAGTCCTTTGTGTTGTCAAAGTAACGAGGATGGGCGGGGCCCTGGAAGGCAGCCAGCGCACGAGTGGCGCTATAAAAGGAACTGGAGGCGGAATTCCCGAACGTCGGCAAATCCTTTGTGAAGCCGTCCGGGAGCGCGAGGGCGGAGCCCCGGCGGCCGACGGCCTTTGAAGTTCCCTTTTTATTTGAGTTTAAAGGCGGGGACTTAATCCAGGGGCGGCCTCGCAGTTTCCCACAGGGGTAAGAGGGGCCAAGAAAACTGACTTTCTTTCCCCCGTCTTTGGAGGATAAGCTATCACCCAGAGCTCCAGTTTCTTCAGTGACTGATGGTTGATTTTGTGGCTTAGGTTGAAAAGGACTTTCAGCTGTCAGAGATAGAAGGAGGAGGAGGAGGAACATTAAGATATGAGGCGGACATGCCTGTCCACTTTGGTCACATCGCTCACATATAGGTCAGCTATAACACTGTTATTTCCATTTGCAACAAGTTCAAGTTAAAAAGTTAAAGCCAAGAAACCAAGAAAGACACAGATTCTTATTGCCACTACTTTAAAACAGTGACTCAAATAAGTTCAGTAGATACTCTTCATGCGAGAACGTGAAAATACAGTTTTAAAGATCGGTGCATATATATGAAAATTCACGCACCTTAACATTTTTCCACATTTCATTCTGTTTCAACCACAATCTTCAATATATTTTGTTTGGATATCATTTCTTAAACAAGCATAAAGTATTAAATACATGTGAAGTGAAAGAAAAAGGCGATGTCCCTAAATGAAGTGTCAACTGGCTTTCACAAATCTCCTTATTCAGAAATAGAGATACTGAATCTCAGTGAATCTCAGCGACATCTATTCCAAGAACACCTTAGAGGTTTGCTGGAGAACATCAGTGAACAAGCAGCGTTGTTAAAACGAAGGAACGGGACAGGCCAGGAAGAAAGCTCTAGAGAACGACAAAGTAAAGCTATAAAGGTTAGAAAACAATATCACTTTAAGCAGGTCAAAAAACACAGTTTGATCCAGTATTTGAAAATGAAGGAAATATTTCAAACCATTCCATTCCAAAGCCATTCGACTGAACTGACAAGGCAAGCAGGAGAAGTACTTATCAGAATAACCACTAAGAGACTCATAGTAACTCTGCAAGGTCAGGAGAGACAATATGTTGATAAAGGTCATCATTATTTATGCATAAATCTGCCTGTTATGAAAGAGATTGGAAAAGACAGCCATGGTCCCAAAATAAGTTGCATTCACACAAGTCATGTACGGGACTATTGGTAAAAATGGAGTTCTGGGTTAATAAGACCAAAACGTACATGCAAAGTGCGACATGTAGTGGAGGAAAACTAACACAGTACAGTACTCTAAATAAAGTATCCCCATAATAAAGCCTGGTGGTGGCAGCACCATCCTGTGGAATGATTGTCCTTAGTAAAATCGATGCGTCTACCCAGGAGGCAAACCTGTTTGAGGCAGGAAAAGACTTAAGACAGAGGTTCAGCTTACAGGTCAGCAGCAACCCTATAGCCAGAACTACAAAGGAACGATTCAGATCAAGGCATTCGTTCTTCAGAATGGAAAAATTCAGGCCTGAATCCAATTGTGATTCTTTTGGGGGAAGAAATTTAAGTTCAACAAATCTCTCCATCCAATCTGAGTAATATATAGGAAATGTGCAAAGAACATGGGTGAAGATAGGAGTTTATAGATGAAGATCTGTTGTTGCAATTGCCATGAAAGGTGGTCTTCAAAATCTTGACTAAGAAAGGCAAAACACAGGTGAATGAACAACTTGTTTCTACTCAAGATGTCCACGAGTAGAAACCATCTTTCAGTTTTCTACTCATGAAAAACTTAGTAAATAACAAACTGTTTTCCTTTAACGTCTGAATCAATTACCTCTTTATGTTAGTCAATTTCAGTTATTCAATCTATCGGTTTATTTGACGAGGAGATTGTACAATAACAATGATTTCTGCAAATAATATTTTGACAGGGGTTTAAGTTCTCTTTGCAAGGCAGTATAAATGCATTATGTTTTGCAATTCAAAGTGCAGCATTTCTACTTACTCATACATTAGATCCATTGATTCAAACATGATCAACTCATTTTAATTATTAGAATAATGTTGATAGTGTAAAGAGCCTTGCTTTTGTTTGAATAACACACTAACTACCATAGGGAGGGGCGGCTTTGCACTGCTTACCTTCTGGATCTTACTGTGTGGTTAGACATGTGAAGCTAAAAGGAATGCAGCTTTAAAAAAAAAAAAAAAAAAGTAACCACCTTGGGGATGTTTTTCTAAATTGTCTATAAACTCGGCCAAAACTATGCTGGTAAACCAGGATGTGTGCATGCAGAGCCACTATCTGGTGCATGTGTTCTCAGCTGCCCCTCTCCATCCTCTGTGAGTAAGTCTAAAAAGGCTGGCCTTTGAACTGCTCTGAAAGTGATCCATGCCTTATGGACAGAGCAGATGTGGCCTAACCTGATTTGGTTTCAATACTTCCCCACAGGAAGTTCACAAAGCCAACAGGTCCTCCTTTGTTATGTTAGTAATTTTTCTCAGAGGGCCACTGGAGCCTTATGGTCTTTTTCCCTTACAGTTGTTGCTATATAATTAGCTTTTTTCGACTTTGCCAAAACTATTTCACAGATTATTCAGTGTTGCAGCAGCAGATAAATGTCATCCTGTTCAGTATCTTTCAGGACAATTCACTTGTCTGTTATTCAAGTTCTGGCTGTAATCATACTGTTTTTGAAGCAATTTTGTCACACTTATGGTCTATATAATGAAGCATATTGACTCACTAAAAAAAACACAATTTGTGTCTTAGTTCACAGATGTTCAAATTCTTCATTTATTCCTAAAAATGAAATAAACACAACACTTTTGATTTCCTTTATTCATGGCCTTGTGGTTCTAAAATTCAGAAGTGAGATGCTGTTCCAGTGACTGCTAGTAAATCAGAGCTGCTGATGTTCTATATCGACAAAAACAAAAAATAACAACAACAACAAAGAACCTCTGAGTCTTACATTTACCATCTTCTGAAAAAGCTGATTTTATTGGACCCGGGGTTTATTGCTAACTTATAATATTGGAAGTGGGCGTAAAAGTTGTCCTTTATAAGCTCTGAAATAAATGAACGTTTTATTTCCAGGCAGGTAAACTATTGGTTCGACAGAATGTGATGATGAAAGGCTAAAACGCTGAAAAAAGACAAAATTAGGGTTACTTGTTAAAAGTTTTGGTTTTCAAAACTAAAGGACTACATTGCCCATCAGCCAAGGTCTACGTCATATCCTTTCACGAGTGAAGACTTGTGGTGCATTTAGGGCCTCTATGGGACGGATTCCCCAAAATTGAAGTCGTTCACTAAAGTTTGACACTGGCGCACCACCTCTGTTAAAGCTCACACTATTTTCATTGATACATGTCACAAAGTTATTCAAGACATACGTAAGTGCACATTATCAAACAAAATACAAGAACCGAGCATAATTAAGAAAAAAAGTAAAGACGAATTGCTTTTTCCCCTTTCTGGGGAAATGTCTTGAACGCATCAAATGTTGAAACGGTTCAAGCGAAACAGGGAGGAGCTGGTGGTTATTATCGTGGATGTGAACACATATTTATGCACTTTGGTGAGTTGATTTATTTCTTGTATTGTATTTTAAGCAATTATCGCCATTATGAAATCTTAAATAGACAATATTTTCTCCTGTTGCAATGCTTCTTGACCGAAAGTCAGTGATTTTGCTTTCGAAAGATGAGGCCTTGCAGATTGGCCTTATTAGCTTCGATAGTAGCCGCAGTGCAAATGTTAAACAAATTTTCATCAAATCAGTAAAATCTATAGTCAGTCTTTATAACGGAAATTATGTTTTTTTTTCGGTTTTGGGGTGTTGGTTGGAGATTAAATCCAGTGTAATAGAACCGCTCGGATTTCGATAAGTGAATGCTAGCAGCCACGGAGGATAATGCTAGTTAGCAAATGGCTATCATGTTTTCTGAACATTAGCCGGAAGCTGGTGGATAAAAATAACAGTATTTTTCATACATTATTTTAAGCCCCAGTCAGGTTCAATAAGCAAAGTTATTCAACTCCTCTTGAGCAAGGCGAGTAACACCGGACTTTGCATTGTAACACGACTTTTTCTTGATTTTACGGCAGTTTCACGACAATAAAAACTATTGGCTTTGCATTCTTCTTTAGTATGTAATGGAATAAGCTGCAAATAAAAGAGAAGTAAAAGAAAATTGCTTTGAGGTTCAGTTGTTATCCAGTCCAACTGAATTTACGTTGTTAGACTGACGAGAGAAGGTAAGCCACAGAATACATACAGTAATGATCATTAATAAGGTAAAATAATAATAATAAAAAAACAGAATATGAACAAGGCGTGATTTTAAAATAGACAGTGAAGTAGCCTGTTCGATGTGCAGTTTTAAGTCATTCCGCGTTTTAAAAGCGCTAGCCTCCGCTTGTTTCAGGCTGATCAGCTGACATGAATGAGCAGGAGGGAGTGGAAGAGTTCAGCAGCTCGGAAAGCAAGCCAGGGCAAGACCACGGAGAGCTTGAAAAACAAATACAACAACTTTAAAATGTAGGAGTGAGGCAAACATGAGAGAAATATTCTTATATCAGCGCCACCAAATAATAATAATGATAAAATATCCCACAGCAATTTGTACTCGCTGTAGTTGGGTAACATAAGAATCACTAACCCACACATAAAGTGCCTGTAAAGTAATCCAATCAGATTACTGTCTCAAAGTCCTTCCTTTATGGCTTTCTGTATTTTGGCCAACTCCCTTAACTGATCAAAACTGGACTTCACCACCATCCTCATCTGACCGTCAAATTCAAGGTCAGCCTCCACTTCAACCCCAAGTTTACTAATCTACTGTTGCACCTTGACTTCCTTAGCGAAACTGCTTTCTAAATGTTAGGTTAGGTGTGACAGATATCTCTGTTCAGTACACCTGCACCACTCTGTAAACCTGTAAGCAAACTTCTAATTACTACTAATTCTAGGTTAAAAACAGACATTCTTTCAAATTGGATATTTTAAATTTTTTGTAAAATCATAGTCTGGAAGCAGTAAGGCTTCATTGCTCTTTTTATCACATCATATTATATTATTGGTCAAATTTACTGACTGCCTCTCATTGAGGATTAGAACAAAGAACCTGTTAATCCTCATTTCTTTCTTTTTCTTTCACAAACAAAGACGTTTCTCAAATCTAAATTCACTTAAACTGGTTACGAAAAATGTGTAACTTTGCCGCTTGATTCTCAGGTGAAACCAAACATTTGAGCACAAAGAATGAAACTATTTAATTTGCAGTTAATCTCAACAAGATTTCTAGCATACACATTTCTAGTCATGCTTTGTGTGTAGATTTCCTGTTGATGAATTAATCACAGTTCTGATTATCGATAAACTGCTTTTCATTTATTTTGTTGAGTAGATTTGGTCATAATACAGAGTCCTGGAAAAAAAGTTTCCATAAAACATGTTTAGATTTTTGTCATGACATGATTGACTTCAGTGTGTTTTACTGGAATTTAATGTGTCAAACCAGCACAAAGCAGCGCATAATGGTGAAGCAAAAGGTTCCATGGTTTTCAAACATTACAGCAAAACAGTCTGAAAAGCGAGGCTTGCATTTGTTCTGTGAATGAACAGCTGCAAGTCTTTAGAGATATGTCTTGTAATAGTTTTGCATATCTAAAGAGTGATATTTTTGCATATTTTTTTTTTTTTTTTGCAAAACAGCTTTAAGCTCAGCCAGTCTGAATGGACACGCTCACACACAAATCAGGGCTTTCCAACTCCAATCTCCTCGGAAGCTGCTGTGTGAAAACTTTTAGATGCTTCCCTGCTCCAGTGCTTAATTGATTACTGTGGAGGCTGGATAATGAGTCAGTCATTTAATTCAGGTGGATTGGGACAGGGATGCATCTGGAAATTGTATTCAGTGTTAAATTTGGTGTCATCTAAGATTACCTTCTTCCACATGCTTGTACAACCGAACTCAGCTCTGAGGTTTTTAAAGCTCGGCATATTGCTTTGTAATATAATTCTGCTTTAAACTTCATTTGTACACAAATTATATATTTATATATAATTGTTTTTTTTTCTTCTCAATTTTAGATTTTAGTCCTCTTCTTAGCGATGTGCTACTTCATATTTGTCTATTAATGAAATCCTAGTAAAATATATAAAAGTTTGTCGTGGAAAGCTGATTATATGTATCTGTTGCTCTCAGCTGCTGACGGTCGTTTTCTTTTCAGGTTTGAGTTGAGGCTGGCCGTAGCTGAGCAGGATGATTGATGTGCGAGGATGGGCAGAGTACGTTGTGGAGTGGGCTGCCAAAGACCCCTACGGTTTCCTCACCACCGTCATATTGGCTCTGACGCCTCTGTTCATCGCCAGCGCGCTGCTGTCCTGGAAACTGGCCAAGATGATTGAGGCACGTGACCGCGAACAAAAGAGAAAGCAGAAGCGCCAGGAAAACATAAACAAGGCCAAGAGGAAGAAAGAGTGAAGCTGCCGGAGGAACGGGGGTCGCGATGGGGGGATGAAGGAACCGAGCGAGCGAACTCGTCCCAGCCCTACTGTCAACACCGGGCCTCTATGCCTCTTGTCCAAGAGGAAGGACGCTGGCCCCTTGGACTTGACAGTGGACAGTGCTGTCCCTGTGGGACTCTCCTCTGGTCAGCAGGAGCCCGGTGGTCCTCTGGTTCACTTTTTCTATAGAGATCTCTGGTTTGATCTGTGCAGCAGCTAAAACGTTGCATTCCATATTAACATCCCTGGTCTCCTGAATTAACCTGATAATAATAATAATAATGATGATGATGATGACAATTATGGGAAGATGCCTTGTATCAGTGACTTGCTATCAAAACTCAAACTTTCTGATGAATAAAATGTTCATGATTAATAGAATTAAATGCCTTTAATAATTGATTATTTTGATCCTGTACATCACAGATATGAATGAAGATATACTTTGAAAAATATTTCTAAATAAATCCAGGTGGAGATAAAATCGAGTGGAGCTTCCTGTATGTGTTTGATGACAAAGATAATTTTATTTCCGACTTTTTAAGGTTCTTATACTGGGATTGCGTTAACTGCCCTGACCACTCTAACTTGATTTTTTTTTTAAGGGAGAATATAAAAAGAAAACCGTTTTGTATCAAAGGCTAATGAATGAATTAACAGATTATCCCCATTTCTGCATCAAAATAAATATCTTTAACCTTTATCTGAATATCAAACTAAAAAGGTTTTTACTTAAAAGCTGTGTAAGGGTTTGACAGAAAACGATGGTAATTTTTAGCTTTGATATATGAATAAGGAAAGAGCATACATTTTGTGTTTAACTTGTGGAACGGCAATTAACAGAAAAGATTTTGATCTCTGATTTTTGATCTGATTGTGTTCTGCTGGTGACTCAGTACGGCTGTTTTTGGTAATAAAGCCTGAGTGGCAAATATTTGTATGACAACAGCTTTTGTGTCTAAAGTGTAAACGAGAAGACATCTTGAAGATTGAATTTGAAAAAATTTGAAAGTTAAATGTACTTAATTTTAACCCATCATATCTTGATACAAGCAATTATTAAAACATTGAGGTTTTTATAAACTGAGTTGTCCATTTTATGCTTTTAGCACATTCATTTTGCACATCAGCTGCTTTATTTTCTTGATATCATTTATTTGTATTAATTGCCCCTGTCCTCTTTATTATAGCACATAAGCCTATCCCCTAAAAGGGGAAGCCAGACAATGTTTAAAACAATTTATTTTAAAATTCCAAGTCTTTTTTTAAAGTAATTATTTCTTGCACTTGTCTTTAGAAACCAAAACAGCGAGGTGTGTATCTGTTGTCAATTTTTAAGTTGGGAAACTTTATTTTTGTATCTTCAGGCAACATTTATAAAAGAATACATTCATCTCCAACTGATTATTCTTCCAATTGGATTCTTTGTTGAAATTTGACAGAAATCTGCTAGAATGAAGGAAAGGACTGGTTATGAAATTATAATGAAATATTATTGTGTTCTGGTAGTAGAAATGTTGTGTATCTGACAACAGATACACACCTCGCTGTTTTGGTAGTAGAACACACAATAGTATTTTATTATAATTATAATTATACAACTGCACTTGCCCTGATTTGATCACTTTGATAAATCTCATTGTGTCTGTTGTGGCTCTACAAATAAAGTAAATTCATACTACTTTTTTTCAGGCTTTATTTAAACTTAAAAACAGATCATTCTATATTTAGTTCAAGTCTTCAATTTGACAACAGAAACTCTTCCACAGAAGAGTTTCAATCCTAAACAAAGTACTCACTGCTAACGTTTGGACTTTATTTCACTTTGCACTGCCTCATGTCTCAGTCTCTGTGGAGGTCTCGAGCTACTTTTTTGATGTGGGCGTCCAGGAACCGGGCTGGAACTTGTTAGCAGTGCTGGTTGGCTCCTCACTGAGCTCCTCCTTGCCAAAGACGGTGGCGGATGCGTGGCCCTTGGCCACCGTCCTGCCGGGAGTCGCCACCAGGCCTTCCTCGTAGTCTTTAGCCTGTAGTGCCAGATCTTTCTCCTCCATCTCCTTCGCCTTCAGCTTGACCTCGTTCATCTGGGACTCATGCATCATCAACTCCTGCGTAACAAACCACATATGTTTACGTTCTTTACACTGATTATCTGGAAGGTTTACACACTTCTAAAGTCTTAAACAAATAGAAAGCGGCGAAAAATCACTTTCGCCGTCTCGGAATGTAATGACGTCTCAGCTGATAATGACAGGTCAGGCAAAACATTACGAACAGACTGACGTGTGAAATAAATTAGACCAATTCATCTCGACACCTGTTAGTGGATACAATTTATAGGTCAGTAATGTTGTGCTCAAAGTTTCTGTGTTAGAAGGTAAAACAGGGAATGGAAGGAAGGAGAGTGGAGAGTTCGCAGTCTGCAGCGATTTGTTTCTATGGACAGTTAAGTCCAAACCTTGGGAGGTCTGGGCTGCTTTGGCAGCAAACCTGGGACCAATATACCACAAAGTCATAATGTCATGCTTCGTATGTGCATAATAAATGCATTCAGACTGATTAAATAAGGAAATTATGAAGTAACTTTGATTTATCTCTTTTAGTCTGTTTCCAGTTGCTGCAGTTCGTGGGCAGAAGCAATTCCAATTACTTACAACGCTACTGCTTTAAATAGGACACAAGGCTATCCAAGAAGATATTCTAGGAACACACCTGAAGTTTAATAATCTAAACATTAAAAAAAAATCTTATAACTTTTTGTTGTATGACTTGGAAAAAAATTATTCAAAATAAGATGCAAAAATAACACATTATAAAATAAATGTAATGTGCCTTGAAATGTTCTTTTGACTTGACTAAACGAGTGCTACTGTTTTTTGTTTTTTTTTTGGCTTTAATTTCCATTATCATTCTTAGTATAATAGCAAAACAGAAAACTCAAACATGTGGTATATGAAAGTGATACTATTCATTCATTTTCATCATAAAACAAATACCTGTGTTGGTTAAAGTGCTGTTTCCCACTCCTAAGATAATGAGAGCACAAAAACGCTGCAGAAAACCAGGATAGTGACCACAACATAACTGGCCGGAACATTCAAATGAAAGCAATGATAGTTTCCCTCCTTCACCAAGAACCTCTCTTTGCCGTTGGAGCGTCTGATTCGCACTCGTCCAACTCTGAAGAGAAATCAAGTTGTAATCCAGTCCTTGCATGAACAGCTGTTTCTGTTGAGCCAGAAGTGTAACTTTCCATTAACCTGCAGCAACATAATAACCGTTGCTTAAAAATGTAGCACTTGGAACAGACTGGTAAACTGAAAGGACAGGAGGCATTTATACTGCATTATTGGAAACCAATTTAAATTCTGGAAACGCTTAGAAACTGAACAGTCCACTGGTGGAATAGTTACCCACTTGAGCCCTGCATCTAGTGTTCACAGAGATGTTAGCCTTGCCCTGGCTGCGGCAGCCAAAGAGGAAGGGAGGATTGGGCATGATGCTGTTGTGTGCTGGCAATACTGAAAGACTGAAAAAAACAAAAAAAAAAAAACAGGGAGATCTATGGCCAAAAAGTCCTGCTTTGGGGAGGGAGACAAACATACTGAGCTGCTTTTCCAGCCTGTTAATGACAGGATTTAATCCAATCAATTTATGTCGATTTGGACCAGGAAAAGAGGGAGCCTGACAAGGGGCAGGGTAATGTGCTGGGAGTGGAGCCTTGGCCACATCGCCGCCGTCCAGCTGTCGATGGCAGCTATTGGGCAGAAGTAAGGCAGAAAATTGGAAGAGAATGTTCTGGCAAAAAGAAAGGCAGGAGATGGCACCGGCTACTGGCAGGGACAGAGGACGGGGGGGGGACAGAGAGAGTGCCTGAGCACCGGCCTTCCAAGGGATTTCCTATAGGCCCACATTTTCCCAGCCAAATAATTTCCAGCATTCTCGCTTTTAAAGAGCAATAAACCCAGAGAGAGGAGCAGGAGTGTGGGGGAGAGGAGGGGGCACAAAAACTGCACGCTTTCACCATTCCCGTCTCGGAGAGTGCCAGAAATAAAACACAAAAAGCCGAGATGGAGGCTTCTGTTGGAAAAAGAGAACGTAAACTGGGACACGGTGTCAGTGAGCCTCCTTGTTCGGAGGCTGTTTCTGCTCTCAGTCTCACCATCAAGGCACTTCAGCTGCTGTTTATTTTAACACCTGTCCCCTAAAGTTCCTGGATTCAATACGATAAAACAAATCAAAGCTTTTTCTTTCCAGCTTTGCTTCTTTCGTTCCCTTGGAACTAGTCCCCCAGAGTCCAACCATCAGCACAGCGGGGAAACTGTGGGGTGGGGGAGAGTGGGGAGAGTGTACCTCGATGGAGGGAGGCTCCTTCCGTCTACCTCGCATCCAAGCTGCAAGGAGAGAAGAGAGGAAGAAGATGAAGAAAAAAAAAAAACATGAGAGTGAGAACACCCACACGAACATACGCTGCACAAACAAAACCTGCAGTCATATTTAAAGGCTTGCAGCTCCAGCATCACCGAGGAAGCCTCCATGCTTGCTGGGGACTGATACGCAGCTTTTGATTCACTTGGTCTTGTTTTATCTGATTTTGTAAACCGGAAGCGCCCAGAACTACTGTGCCTTGCAACAGGATTCTTCTTATCGCCTGAATGTTTTTTTTTTTTGTCACATTTAGAGGACAAAAATGAAACGCAACAAAAGCCTGCGTTTCATTGGGATTAGATGAGACGTTCCAACACAAAGCGGCTCATAATTGTGAAATGGAGGGGAATTTATAAGCTTAAACTTTTACAAATAAAAATCGGAAGTGTGATGTGCAATCACATTCAGCCTTCTTTGAATGAACACTTTGGAGAATCATCTTTTGTTGTAATTTACATAATGCTCTCCTGTCCTAGCAGGCTAGTTTAGGGTGGCCATGTCTTGTTAGGTTTGACGTTGTACTCTTTTGGATGATGAACTGATCAAACCTTTGAAACAAGTTCAAAGTTGAACATTTATAACATATTCCTGCCTTAGACATCACCTTAGCTTCCTCCCTGACCAGGCTGCTCCTGTTTCTCCACATTGCTGTTCACTAACATTCTATGAAGCCTTCACAGAACAAATGGATTTCCATTGAAATTATTCACAAATGGACTTTATGTGTTATGAAGGTGATTTTTGAATGCAGTTGGTTGAACTGTTTTTTTTTTTATTCAGCTGCATAAGAGTAAAAGAGAAGTGAACACAAATACATACCACTCTGTCCAGATCTCTAAAAAAATAAATAAATCATGTTTGTCATCCACAAAAATTTCCCAACCTAAAACATGAACATTTGTAGATGTGAAATGGTGTAACGTGGAAAATTATTCAACTTTTTAAAGAAGTTTATAATGCATGATAAACACAAGACATCCGTTCGGATTTTGTGTTGGCAGAACCGGGTCAGCGAGACACGTCCATCGTCCTTGATCTTCAGTTCTTAAAGCACATGCTCTGTCACTCCTCATACACACCTCCATCCCTCCCTCGACTCCTCGGCAGAACTCTCTCCATCACATCTCTTTTCCCTCCCTCTGTTGAGGAAGCTCTATTCGGGCTGAGCTGGCCGCACAGCAGAGCAGGTTAAAGGAAGCCAGAAAAAGAGAGAGAGAGATTTTGCAACTCTTGCTCCAGCTAGCATGGGGATTCTGGGCCTCTTTTATCCGTTTCTTATTTGCATCCTGATGAAAATGCATGAGGGATGGGGCGAGGCAGGATGAGGGGGTTTAAGGTGGATAAAGCCAGTCTGAGACACAGGGAACAGTTTGTATCCAGTTGTAAGAAACACTTTTTTATGGTGCGGTTGTATAACGCCGGCAGAAGGCATCTTTGATAAACTCATTCCCAGCCCCCATTCCATCTTGCAAGATGAAGGGAGAGAAAAAAAGAAAGAAAAAAAAAAACTAAATCATTGGATTAGCCAAGGTCCCAGAAGATGAAGCCATGGATCTGTCATTCTCTTTTATTTGAGCTCTTTTTTTTTGTTTAAAATTAGTGATAAGTACAATATGCGGCACAGATTCTGCAGCCCAAACGTACCTTCCCACTCTATCGGAATGCTGCCCTCCATATATTCATACTCTGCAGAATTGGCTGCCTCCACCATCCGCCTGGCACGGATCTGCCTCCCTGGAAAGGGAAAAAAATATATATATAAAAAATAAAAAGACAGCAAGTGTGATTTGATGGAGGTGCTCGCCAATGTTGCACACCAAATGCAAAGGGAAATAAACACAAAGTAGTCCAGACACAATGTTCTCCAGACACACAGACAAATCCACGCGGGGATGACAGCGCTGTGACAGGCCATGGATGATTACCTCGTGGCCCTCGGGCCCTTCTCCTCAGATCTCGCTGAGTGGCTCCAAATCTGGGCTAAGCCTTTATGCAAATGGGCTTTTCCTTTAACCCAACCAACCACGGCCCCCCCTCCACCGGCTACCTCTTCCAATCACAGCGCCCTGGCTAACAATGCCCTCCAAAATCAACATCAAGCCCAGCAGGAGACAAAAGAGGTCAGATATCAGAGGGAACAGGAGAGGCATGAGCTGCTTGGAATATTAAGCGTTCCTTCTCCCTATCTGTATACAGCACGACGCTCGCTGGCAGCAAGGCCACTGCCAATTATTTTGGTCAAAATCTGCTGATTAGACAAGTTTGGCTGGCACACAGTGACATGGAGACGGCGACCGAAGGAGGGGAGTGGGAACAACAGAGAGAGCCCACTTTTTGCCGTGTCGTCTTCACATGAGTCATGTTCAAAAATAACAAGTTCTGTGTTTCCATAGTTTCTCTCCTCACAGGTAGTCAGATGTCTATCTGAGAAAGGATGGGGCGACGAGGGAGAAAGAAGAAGCAGGGAGGCAGGAAGAGTGAGAGAGAGAGACAGAGAGAGAGAGAGAGAGAGAGAGAGAGCGTGATGATGCATGGCAAACATGGCTTGAAGAAGAAAAATGTATGGGCAAAGAAAACAACACGCTCCAAAACACAGACAATCTGTCAGGATTCCATCACAGTCTCTCCGCAGCTCACTGGACACGGACAAATGGATGCAAGCAGCGCCATGCGCACTGCAGACTGATGGCCTTAATGTTTACTTCAGCCATAACAGATAGCTCTGGCACTGGGATGGATAAACGATGGCCCTCCAAAGTGACAAAGCGAGTTCTGTTCACGGCCCTTGGTTCCCCATCGAAAATCAGTGCCTGTGTGCTGTTCTGTAATTATGTCTTGTGAGGATGATTCTTTTCCACACTCCATCCAGTCCGTACAGTAATCAGGTCAGCTAATTAGGCTAGTAATGCTTTAGTTCTGCCTTGGTTCCCACTAGGTTGTCACAAAAGGCCCCTTGCAGGCTCCGGCTCAGCACGCAGATGGATTTCGCCGATATCCAAACACCAGATTGCACCTGTTCTGCTAAACCACAGCTAAAAAGGAGAAAAATGAACAATGTGATCCTTCAATTAGCTACCAAAAACCAATCTTTGATGTCTCTCTGGAAAATGCTTCCTTGAAATTCTCCCAAGATGGCATGGTAAAGACAACTGCCTGCAAACAAAAGGCTGCGATTCTCTAGGCAATACTAACTAAGGCGTTTAACAGGTATGCTAATTATAAACAGATCATATCCATATTTGCATCAGGAGTGGGTGGCAGCAGAATGAAATGGAAAATTGCATTAAAGTCCCCACATGCAATGTGCTTAGCGAGCTAATGCCTAAATAATAAGCATAAAGAGAGGAGCTTACCTTTCTCTGTCTCCTCTGTGTTTCTCCCTGCCCTCCCACTCCCCCCTTCCTGTTTGACGCCGACATGCTTCCACTCCTGTAACGATGATTTTGCAGCATGACTAAACCCCACTTCCAGAACAGGTTTTATCCCTGGATTTTAGTGACAAATACTGTTTGTACATGCATTCTGGATCCTCCCAGCATGTTTGTGATGGACAAACAGTATTGTACAAACAGTATTGTACAAACAGTATTTATTTGGATTTGCATTCTCCCAACCACAAACCTGTGAGTTGGGAATGGCTTAATACATAATTGGGTTTATAAAACAATATTGGGTGCTTTCATATCCTGAGCTCAACCAGCAGTGTCTATAGTTGATAATAAACTGGAAAAGGCTTTCATTAAAAGTAGCCACAAGTTGTGAAAGGGACACAGCAAACATATGGGAGACGGTTCTCTAATCAGATGAGACCAAAACTGCTCTTTTTGTCCTTTCATGCAAGAAAACAAACAAACAAACAAACGAAAAAACACTATACATCAACCTGAAAAATTTGTCACAATGGGACATGGTGGAGGATGCTGTGTAAAAGGTAGGCATAGTTTAAGCGAATATAAGTGGAGCTAAACTGGATTGGAGGGCTAAACTGTCTTGCTGGATTACCTTCCAGCAAGACAGTTTGCTGGAAGTTTACTGTACGGACTGGATGGACTGGCCAAAACATCCTGAGAATCTTTGCGAAGTCGTAAAACGTATGCTCCAAGAAGCTCACCATTCAACCTGACTAACCTTGACACGTTCTGCAAAAGAATTTGCAAAAAACTTTGTTTCCAGATATGCAACACACCTGAAAAGACTTGCAGTTGTAACTGCAGCCAAAGGTGGTTCTACAAAAGTAATGACCCAGGGGACTGAATACAAATGTACACTTGTTTCAGATTTATTTGAGCTTAAAATTGTTGAAACCTTCTTTTTCAAAACTAAGAACTCCTTTACATTGGTTTGTCACATTAAATCCCAGTGAAATACACCGCTATAGCTTGTAAAGTGAATAAGTAAAAGGGTTTTGCACATCTTTTCAACATATTACAGATTTCATTTTAAATGCAATTACACAGGAAGTTGTGCCCAGGTTCTTTGAATGATGCTCACTGAGTTTTGCCTCTTCATTTTTCTGGATCAAATCTGATTCATCAAGAATCCAAAATCTAATAAATGAATAAATCTTAATACCTGAATATTAATATTGCATGTTTTGATGGTAGAATAACTTCTTCCTGCCACATCCAGCCATCAGTATGTAGCCTGTCTGCTCCACAGTTCTTTCTCCACCTTGAGTAAGAGACCCAGAGAGGTATGAAGGGTGTTAGGAGCTCACAATCTCAGCGGGCCCCCCTGTGACACGTCTGCCTTCTCATCACTCACTAGGGGGAAGCCTATTTACTAGTCAAATACACACAGGTACACGCACACACCAACACACAACTGGCTCGAGAGCAAGGCAGATTAACCTGAGGGACAGGAGCGAGGACTCTGCCTCTTTACCGTGAAGGACAAACGCAGCACCGCCTTGGAGAGGAGGGGGAGGGTCCAGCGGCAGGGAGGAATGAAATCCCACAGCATAAATATTCATGAGCCATCTCACCTGTCTGAGCACAACTCATCTGTGAGGCTGCCTGTGAATCCTGGGGGAGGGGAGAGGAAAAGGATGGCAGGGAGGCAGGAAAGAAGGAAGGATGGAAGCGGAGGAGTAGGATGGGTGAGGGGGTTGCCGTGGCAGCCGTACCTCAATCCTTCCCATTCGTTAAAATAAGACAGGATGCGCTCCGAGGGCTGCTCTTTGAACCCTGAACACACCCCACTAAACTCCATCACCTGCTACAACACGCAAGCCCCTCTCTCCCCTTTTCTCCCCCCCAACAATCTCACACATCAGCTCCCAGGTGAGTACCGCTGGGGGCGGCCCGAAAGGTTGTTCACCACCACAATGTCATCCCCGGCATCTTCATGCCATCTCTTTTGCTGCGTCTTGTTTTTTGCAGAGAAAGATGTCAGGGGAAAAGCGCATCGCTCAACAACGGCGGAAGACATTCCTTAAAACACACTCTGCACCAGACCACAACAGGTGGACCCTGTCACACCCTCCCTTTATCGCCGCACTGACATCTACAGCTTAAAAACACCGTGTTCATTTGTGTTGTACCAGAATGCATCATCCCACACCAATCAGGCCATGCTCACCTAGCCTTTACCCTTGTCATCGTCCAACTGCCATGGCTCTCAGACATAACCTTTACCAGATACATAAATTTCTTTTTAGATGCAAATGACCACTTCTACAGAGGAGCACAAACAGCTTGATAAAAATTTTTCTTGCAGGACAGAAAATTTCCTGCAACAATTAATCAGTGCAAGACTTTTCAGTGTCTTTCACTAAAAAGTGGAAGACAGAAAATTTCTTGCAGGGGCAATTCCTGCAAGAAATTTATGTGTAGGAATTTACACAGCTGGAATTCCGTGCAAATTCTGGTATAGCTCACAGGGAGAAAAATATGACAAAAAAAAAAAAAAAAAGCTACAATAAAGTGGTTGTTTTTTAAGGAAACTGAAACTAACTTTTTGTCTACATGTTTTTTGTTGTAACTACAGGGGTTCACGATGCTTCACAAAAGCGTGGTTTGTTCCTGTTGCTTCTTCTTAACCATAAAGCCCATCAGTGCGGCCCCTTTGGTGTTTCATAGACAGGTGTGATAGTTTCAATACTAAATGGAGATATGAGCGGTCCTTTCCAATTTATCCAAAATAAAAAAATAAAAAATAAATTAAGGAGAAAACATTGGTGGGGCTAAAACACTTTGGGATAAAAGAACAAAAAGTTACTACTCGGCGAGTTGCATCAAATTAACAGAAACTTTCCGTGATGAAGGGGGCAAGATCAGTGACAAAACTAGAAACAAGCAGCATGATTGGCAAGCAGTGCATACATGACTGTCATTCTGTCACAAACTTGGGATGTTATGTGTTAACATTTTAAAGTCAAAAGATTCTTGTCCAAACTTTATGACATCTGAAACTGTCTAAAAACCTTAAATTTCCCTTAATAAATGTAGTAGCTTTGTATAACTTTGGGGATTTTTTTGTTCCCTAAGATTTGCTATGACTTTTATAAGCTGCTTCCTTAATAAATGTTTGTTTATTTTGTAATTTGTCATTAAACACAGAGTAGTTTTGACTGATATAATATTGTGCTTTCATACATTTGTCTTAAAATTATGTTTCCACTTTTTTTCAGTTGTGTAATCTACAGAGCCCCCTAGGGGACACAGGGACATTTTTTTTCTTTTGCGGTACATTGCAAAAGTATTGAGTTCCCTCGCAAAACTGTACTGATCAGT